TCCCAGTGATCCACTTTTGAAATTGTGCTTCCTGTTTCCTCAGGGCTCTGCAAGGTTAGAGGTCCTTGTTCTCCAAGGGGGAACACTGCTACCAGGCGACACAGCAAGAATCCCATTAAACTGTAAGCTATGATGGCCCTCGGGGCACTTTGGGTTTCTCATGCCAAGGGACATAAAGAGGAGTCATTGTCTTGGCAGGGGACATGGCCGACCTTGCTCCTCAGGAGGAGGTAGAGCTGCTGGTAGGCAGTGGAGGCAGGGAGGAGTATGTTTGGTACCCAGGGATCCGCTTGAACATCTGCTGGTACCCTTGCTCAACTATCATATTAAATGGGCAATGTGGCTGTTTGTACAGCAGCTACAGCCTGAGAAGGGCAAGGAGACTAAAGGCTCAGGGATCTCTGCAGGAAGGGGTGAGCCATCCAGACCAAGAGAGGCACTAGCTGAGGGTGGGAAGAATCTAGAATGTGTAATAGAAGGAGAAGATGAATATAATTTATGACGTTGAAATCAACTGCAGCAGCAGAGACTATGGTTCATCTCACTACTGTGCTCTTTCAAGTGTCCCTGAGAAAACAAGACCGATTAGAATTCTGGAAATGCCATTCTCCAATGGGGTGAACTTACTATAAGAAGGAAGTAGATCGGAGCAGTGCAATGTGTGGACTATATGCTTCTCCCAGATCCTTACCTCCTTGCTTCAGGCCCTTGCACCTATCCCCCAGCTTCTGGAATATCTGCTGCTGACGGCTCACAGGTGTCCCTCACTGGGCATTGGCCTCTGCAGCAGGGATTTGCCTCACCCGATTATGCTTCCTCTCAGGGGGCAGCCGACAGCCAATGACTGACGTAGGAATACAAAGCCTGGCCACCCTGTTTCAATTGGGACAACTCTGAAGGGCCATTCCAGTGCCAGAGGTCCCCAGAGGTTGGCTGAGGCCTCTGTTGTGGTTGCACCACAGCTCAACTTTTCCCTCTGCACAATCCTGCCTCCCTCACAACCTCCCCCACAGGTGTTATTCCCAAGAGCTCTCCCCAGTAAATCTGCACGCAAATCTCAGAGTCTCAGGGTCTGCTTCCAGGGAAGTCTATCTGAGAAAAGAAGCCACAGTAAGAAATAAAGCTTATATAATCTACTACATATGTATTTACATAATAACCCATCCTATATATGTAATATATATTATATAAGACACATGTTGTACAGCAAATATGAGAATATAGAATGTCTTATGTATTATGTAACATATAAAATTATGTTATACATTACATATTATGTGTATATGTATTTAGAATATATATAAATATACATACGTAATTGGAATTAAAGTTTCATTAAATAATTACCTTTACTATGTGTAATGAAGTCTGATTTTCCTATGCTATTTTATTTCATTTCATGAAGAATAATATATACATATAGATGTATTATGTGCTGTAAAGCCATTATATAACACATGTATTATATAGCGTATGTCATATATAATATAATATACATTATAGACTGTAGATCTTAATGGAACAACAGTTTTGCTAAACAACTCCACTTACTATGTGCAATATGCTCTTTTATTCTCTATTTTTATCCTACTGCATGAAGAAAGTGAAATGCTGGTCATAAGCCAATAGGTGACCCATAGTTTGAAAAACACAGGACGAAATTATCCACAAAATGGGGAGATGAATCTCAACTTACAGTTTTCAACTTTAAACCACAGAGGAATTGAGACCCAGGAAAGAATGAGAGTGGTGAGGTTTGGTGGGAAAGGCGTCAGACTGTATTTGGGTGTACATTCCATCACAGAGTTTGCACAACTCCTCCTTTATTCAGGACTGAAATCCCTGAAGCTTGTGTGGTTCCAAGTGTCTGCAAGTTGGTGAAACAGGTCTCTGTTCCCCACACTGAGCCTGAGGTACATACATAGGCCCTCTCCCTTCATCCACCCCATCCCACGTAAAGTAAACACTGAATAAATATTTGCTAGATTGCCTGGAAGAAAAGACTGGAGGGTATGCTGGGATAAAAGGAGACTTCTGAGATGCAGAAGGGGAAAGGATGGATCTTTCACTGAATTCAGTAGGTGCTCAGTAAATGATTTCTGGACAAAGAAAAAATGGAAAGCACTGGAGGTGTGATTACGGAAAGGGGAAGGGACTTGTCAGTATCCCATAGAGGATAAATGCTGGATGGAATGAAGGAAGCAGCAGCAAAGGGCCTGCGTGGAGGGCTGGAGTGGAGACAGGAAGTCTAAAGGAGGGTGGTTACCTATATCCAGCAGGGGCCTAATTGATGTTTGCTGACTTCAATGGAGCTAACTTAGCCATGAAGATAACATGTTGGTGAGTGGACGTTGGTGAAGGAATTACAGCACGTGCTCCATAAATGCTTTACAGATGGATAGAGAGAAAAGCAGAGAAGCCTGCTGCAGGGATGAGAATACAGTTGTTTGAAAATAATACAGTAAGAGATTAATGAGTGTTTTCTGGACTAATTCGGGGAGAAAAAGGTAGCCGGGGAGATGGCCACTAAGTGGAGGAAGAGGACTAGCCAGAATAAATGGAAAACAGCGCACATCGTGAGTTTTCAGGATTGTGTTGTGTAAAAGGCAGGATGGAGATTGTGGAAGGGGGAATTAGGACTACCAGAAGGGGAGAAGAGCTGTTGAACGCAAGGTTCTTAGTAGCATACAATAAGTGCTCATTAAATGATTGTGGGGTTGCATGGAGGAAAAGGTATAGCAAAGCCAGCTGGCAGTTGAGGATTTCAAGCACACCTGTATTTAGAAAAAAAAAGGGGAAGGGGAGCTGAAGAAGGGTTATTCCTAGTATATAATGGTGCATAATAAATAATAAATGCCTCCCACACTGTCATGGAAAGGATGCAATAAATATCTGTAAAATGAATAAATTGCTCTGAATAAAGAGAAAAGCTACTGGGTAAAGGCTCCTGTGGGGAGAGATAATGTAACCAGTAAACAGCTGGTACTCAGTACATTTAGGCTGAAGTAGACCCCTGGAGAGAGAGCTCGAGGCAGGGGCAGTGATTTCCAGAGACTTGGAAGGAGGAAGTTGAAAGTGACTCATACAGTAAGTGCTCAATAAGTGTTTACTGGCTTAAATAGATTAAACGCCCTTTGGGGGTATGGAATTAAAGTTGGTAAGGGAATCCTGGGGGTACTGAAGGGAGTGGGAAAGGGGTGATCATTATAAACTCAGCTCTGGATTTATCATAGGACAGGACCTTGGGATAGGCCTTGTGATTGGAGCAAGCTCTTTCAGGGGTAAGGAAGAGGAATGTACCCCCTACAAACAACAGGTCCTGCATATGTGCTCACTGGATCTACCATAAGAAAACAATTCTGGGGAGGAGGTGTGAATATACAGAACACACAGAAGGCACTCCATAAATGCTCAGGGGATCCATTGGAGGAAAAGGTCTTTGGGGGAGGATGATTAGAATGGAGCACGTGGCAGACAAGGAATAAATGCTCAGTGGATCCATTAAAAGAAAAGGCCTTTGGGGAGGGGGACTGGGAATGGACATATAATCACCTGATAAATGCTCACTGCATCCTTGAAGGAAAAGCCCTCTTGGGAGGGGAAATGGGAATGCAGAAACTTGATCTATGGGAGCTTGATTCTTCATCCATAGGAGAAAAGGCTTTTGTGGAGAAGACACAGAATTAGGTACACAGTAGGTGCTCCATTAAATACTCCAAGGAGTGATGAAAAGAAAAGGTCTTTGGAAAGAGTGACTGGAATGGTACACACAGTAAGTGCCAGATATCTGAGCACTGTATTAACTAGAGGCACAGGCCTTTATGGAGAGGTCTAAGGTTGGGTCATGCAGAAAGTGCTCAATACATGCAGACTGAAGCCACTGGAGGAAAGGGTATTGGGGAAAGGGTTTGGGGATGGGGCATACAGCAGGCACCACTCAATACATGCTTGCTGAATACATTGGAGGAAAGAACTTTTAGAGAAGGCTCACGCTGCAGGCAGTTGATAAATGCTAGATGGATCCAGCAAAGGAAAGGTCATTGAAGAAGTAGCTTGAGAACGGGGATACAAGAGGCACTCAATAAATGCTTTCTAGATCTATTGTAGGAGAAGGTATTCGAGGAGACAGTCTGAAGATGAGTCACACACAGAAGGCTCAAAAATGCTCATGGAACTCACTGGAGGAAAATGATTTGTTTGAGAAGGGGTTTGGGGATGAGCACCTGTCAGGCACTTAATAAATGCTTCCTAGATCCTTTGGAGAAAAAGGCCCTCAGAGAGAGGGCTTGGAGTTGGGACATACAGAAGGCATCCAATCAAAGCTCACAGGATCCATGAAAGGCAACGCTTTTGGAGAGAAGCTGGGGTGGGATACACAGCACGCACTCAATGTTTATTTACCAAATAGTTTAAAAGGGCTTTAAGGATGGGGCTGGGGTGTGATACATGGCATAGCATAGCATAGGCTGAACACATGCTCACAAGACCCATTAGAGAAGGCCTTAGGGCAAGGGTTGAGGAGAACAGGACAGTATTAGGCTCTCAAAAAATGCTCACAAAACTCACTGAAATCAAAGGCCTTGGGGAGGGCCTCCTGGTTGAGGCATACAGCACGTACTACATAAGTGCTCACAAGAGCCGTTAGAGGACAAGGCGTATGGGGCAAGGGTTGGGGAGGGTAGCCAAGACACCTTCATTTTTTGAAGGCTCATAGGATATACTGAAGCCAAAGACTTTTGGGGGAGGGGGAGTAAGGAACAGGTACACAGCAGGTGCCCGATAACTGCTCCCTGGATCCATCAAGAAGGTTTGGGGGATGGAGAAGGGGGGGCAACAAGGGTGGGGTACAGAGGAAGCGTCCAGCTTAATAATTTAAAAGAAAAAGGTTTAGGTGAGAGGGCCAGGTGCCAGGCACACAAGTGGCGCTCAATAATTGCTCCTTCGCAGAGGAACGATCTGGGGACCCAGGCACGCGGGAGACGTCCGCAACAGTGGCTTACCAGTCGGTGTGCGGCTCATCGATGACCAGCAGCACCCTGGAGGCGGCGCCCCCGCGGCCTGCGCCCCCAGAGCCGCCGCCCACCTGCTCGCTGAAGGTGGCAGCCGCTGCCGCCGTGGTCTGCTTGACCGCGTTGGACAGCGACGAGAAGAAGCCACCGCCCCCCGAGGACCCGGGGCTAGGGGCAGCCGGGGAGGCCGCGGGGGCGACCCCGGAGGACCTCTCGGCAGCGGCGGTCCCGGAACCGGGCGTGGCTCCGGGGCTGTGGGCACCGGGCGGCGGCGGGGGCGGCTGCGGACGCTGCAGGTCTGTCATGTACCCATTCGGCAGATTGGCCATAAAGTTGCTGTCCGACAGGCGGCGCCGCAGGTAGTTCATGGCTGCGGCTTGGGGCAGGGGGTCCTAGGGGTGGTCTGGCCAGGAGCCGCGGGGACGGACTGCGCGGTGCCCAGGAGCACAGCTGCGCTCTCAGGCACGACACGACTCCTCCGCTGCCCACCGCAGACTGAGGCAGCGCTGAGTCGCCGGCGCCGCAGCGCGGATGGTCGCGCCCGTGCCCCCCTATCTGGCGCCTCGCGTGGTGCGGTCCGGCTGGGCCAGCGGTGGCGCGGACGCGACCAAGGTGGCCGGGAAGGGGAGTTTGCGGGGGATCGGCGAGTGACGTCACGCGCCTTCAGTGCTTTGGCGGTGGTGGCGCGCGCCGCCAGGCGGGGGCGAAGGCGCTGTCCGCGGTGCTGAAGCTGACAGTGCGCACGCGCCTCGCCGCATCCTGTTCCCCTCCCCCTCTCTGATAGGGGATGCGCAATTTGGGGAATGGGGGTTGGGTGCTTATCCAGAGGGTCGGGGTAGTCAGGTAGGCACCCCTACTCGGCCTCATCCGGGTCCTAACACCCATTCGCACTCATACATAGGGCTCTCCGCAGATACTTAGTGTTGATATTCACTGCAGAAGCCACTTTTTTGGGGGAGGGGACAGTGGAAGCACACTCAAGAGACACGAAAGTAGAGAAATAACCCCCTCATAGAGAGGGGTGAGGTTACACGCAGTGCCCGCGGGGAAATCAGTCTCCCACGTCCACACAGGCTCAGCTAGGCAGAGAGTGGGGGCGTCGTAGACAGCATCAGACAAGCGGAGGCGGACACTTGGGTGGTGTACACACCCTTGCCCAAGGTGGCAAGGGGGGCCTGGAGGCACACAAGAAATGACACACATATAAACACACACAAAAGTGAGGAAAAATACAGGGGCATGTACAGTAAGAGAACACACGCCAATCTAGGTATACATACAGACATACAAGTCCAGGGTAACACACATGGACATGCTGCATACATGTATGCATACACCCATACACACACACACACACACACACACACAGACAACACACTGACACACAGAGACCCAGGGAAACTCATATGAGCATGCACTCACAGACAAAACACATTCCCACCAATGATCATGGAGAAACCTAGATTTGTAACACAGACATTCTCTGCAGCCCTAGCCCTGGTGCATGTCCACCCCCACACCAGAACGCACTTGATATATACGCCACCATCCCTTTGCTCTGGACACAGCCAAAACTCATGATAACCACCTGATGTCATCGGTGCCCATGGCTGTCTCCCCTTGCACCCAAGAACTTTCCACAGAGGCAGGGCCATCCCATGTTGCACACACAGTAGGTACCAAATAATGTTTGCATATGAGCAAATGAGGTAGTCCAAGCAGAGATGGGATGTGGAAACCTGTCAAATCTTTATGATCCTGACTACAATAAAAGCACTAATTCATAATCATTTGTTCACTGATTATACCCAACTTTTAACTAAGCTGTTTATATGCATGATTTCATCCAACCCTCACAACAATCCTATGGGGTGGATAATATAATTTCTATTTTACAGATGAGGGAATACAAGAACTCCAATTAATTTTCAAAGTCATCTTCAATTTATGATTTATACATTTTTTTTCTTTTAAGAATGTGCCAGGAAGAGGAAACATCCAGTGCCAATGTGGTTGGAACAAGCTGAAGGGGGTTGTGGTAGCAGGGGCCAGATTGGGTAGGACCTTGACCATAGTGAGCAGTGATGGTAGACTAGGAGAGGTGATGGAAGATAGGCAAGGAGTAAGTAGATATGGAGTCTCTTTTGTCTGCCGAATTTTCAGGTGAATCATCAACTTATTCATTTGTTCGTCCTTTATTCATTAAATCATTGGCTGGTTTAAACAAGGCAGTAATAGTGTGGGGTCTGGAGACACAGTGCCTGATTTCAAGTCCAGCCTCCACCATACACTTGGAAAAGTGACATAATCCTTCTGAGATTTTGTTTCCTTATCTGTAAAAAGGGTACATCTCAGCTGAGTGTGGTGGTTCACGCCTGTAATCCCAGCACTTTGGGAGGCCGAGGCAGGCGAATCATGAGGTCAGGAGATCAAGACCATTCTGGCTAACATGGTGAAACTCCATCAAAATACAAAATAAATGAAAAAATACAAAAAAATGAACCGAGTGTGGTGGCACGCGACTGTAGTCCCAGCTACTCAGGAGGCTGAGGCAGGAGAATCGCTTGAACCCGGGAGGCAGAGGTTGCAGTGAGCTGAGATCGCACCAGTGCACTCCAGTCTGGGTGACAGAGTGAGACTCTGTCACACACACACAAAAAGGGTACATCTCTAACCCACCTCTAAGGAGAGGGGTAGGAAAGAGGCAACCTCTGTACCTTTGCATGTGCTGTAACTTCTGCCAGGAATGCTCTCTCTTTACCTCTCTCAAGGGTTGCCTTTGGCCACTGTCTCCAGGAACCCCTCACCCCCAGGTCTCAGATTCTATCCTCTCCTCCCCTAGGCTTCCACAGTACCCAAGTCAATAAGTAGTAAATGAATGAGCAAATGCTAAGGGCACTGGTGTCTGGCTTTGTTCCCTTTACTGCGGAGACATATAACGCTCTGATTCCTCTTCTCTTCTATACCCCGTCATGTCCAGCACTATTGTTAATATACAGTAAGCGTTAAGTATTGAATAGATGTTCACACGAAAGGAATACCTCCTGAGTCCATTCTCTAGCTTAGATGTCCTCTTTCTACCATCCCTCTTCCACCCTAGATGCCCAGACTTAGCTTTAGTATACAGCAGGAGCTAATAAGTGTCGAATGAATGAACAAGTACCAGAGGAAAGTGTCTGGATTTGTCTTGGGGGCTCCTCCGGGCAGATACTGACTCTAGCTTCTTTGCCCCCACCTCAGCTCAGAGCGCAACAAGGGCACTTCCTCGGCCCGCCCCCCGCCTCGCGGAGCTATTTGTTGCTGGTAATTGTGGCATTGGAGCTGTCGGGAGTGGGTGAGTGCAGGTGCTCAGGCGGCAGGGTGCCAGCTTCGGCCACGCCTCTGCCGTTCTCATCCTCCACTGACGCGGAGTCGGAGTTGGCCGGCAGAGGCTCCTCCGAGGCTCTGGCTGGTGGGAACCTAGGGAGGCCCAGGAGGCAGGGAGACAACGAACAAGCACGCCGGCCAATCATGAAGTGCCTGCCAGGGCGAGTAGCCAATCAGGAAACCCGTAACGCGAAGCTCTGCAGAGGAACGTGCCAGGCGACCCAGGGGGAATAAGGCGCTGCGCAGGGCCCGGACTTTGGGGTTATGGCAGCGGTGGGGAGAGGCTGGGGTTGCACACTTACTTCCACTCCTGCTAACCTGCGACCACAATGGAAAATGCTTTTTTCCACAACAGGCTATTACGTCTTGGCCGGTGCTGTGCCCTTTGCCCTGTGAGATGCTATCACCCTACTTTTGGGGAAGGGGATAGGTTGTTTTTCCTCCTTTAAGGAATCGTAGACAAGCTCGAAGAGGCTGGTTTATTGAGGTATGGAAGGTCGGGGGGCGGTCAGAGTGGAGGAGAGAAGTGTTATTTCTCTTCCTCAGGGTCTTTACAAGCAGGCACGTGTAGACATGGCCGTTTCTCCTCCACCATCAGCTTCTTCCCCTGTAGCTCCTCACACTGTGGCAGCGGTCTCCCCCAGAAGGTCACATTCTTCTCACCCTCACCTTCGACTGGGGAAATGGTGGGCCTGAGGCATTAGGGGAGGGGAGGAACAGAGGAGAGAAGCTCAGGGAAGGCAAGAATGCATTCAACTCTTATTGAGTGCCTGCTATGTGCCCAACACTACTTTTTTTTTTTTGAGACAGGGTTTCACTCTGTTGCCCAGGCTGGAAGTGCAGTGGCACAATCATAGCTCACTGCAGCCTCGATCTCCTGGGCTCAAGTGATGCTCCTGCCTCAGCCTCCCAGAATGTTGCTGGGATTACAGGCATGAGCCACCGTACCTGGCCTCCCAACACTACTTTTTAGCTATGGGAGATTGGGCAATTTCTTTAGCTTCCCAGTGCCTCAGTTTCCCTCATCTGCAAATTGAGAATGGTATGAATAGTAATATTAATACCCACCTCATGGGGCTAAGTGAGAACAAATGAGTTAATTCAGGTAAAGTGCTCAGAGCAGTGCCTGACATGCAACAAGTGCTCAATAAATGCTGGAGAATGTTGGCACGAGCTACTTTCTCTTACCTCCATATACCCTTTATGTCTCTTTCCACTGCCTCCAGAAAAAAAAACCCGATGCCTTGTCCTGACATTCAAGGCCTTATTGTTGGGCCCAAATCCCTGCCCCAAGCCAATCTCTCTCTCTCCTCTCCTCTTTATCCAAGCTCAGTCCATGTCCAGAAAGGTCTTTGCCTGGGTTATTTCTCCCACTAGACAAGCCCTCCGTTCACTCCCATCCCAGTTCTCTTAATTGCTTCTTCCTCCGCTCAGTCTCTCACTCACTGAAGTCCTTTTTGCCTCCATTCCACACCTCTAATTCATCTTCAGGCTCTACTCTAAACCCCCCAGCCAGGAGATCCCTTCCCAGATGGCAGCCCTTCCACGAGCTGGGGATGGTCCACTTAATCTAGAAGCTTGATGTATGTGGAAGGAAGAAAACAATAAGCATTCTAACCCTCTCTAACACCTGGGCCCCTCTGGCACCTGGAAACACTTACAGCGGCTGATCAACTAGCTCCAGGACTCTGTTCACAGTCTTGATGCCAGGAATGCCTTTCCTGACCCCTACTTGCCCTGGGAGGCCCAATCCACTTCCTGGACCTAGGCTGAGGTGGCAGCCCCTGTTGCATGCACCAGCTGCTCTTCATATACCTCCTGTCAGGGCCCTGCTTAGCTGGGTCCCTTGGAGGATCCACAGGATCTGGGCTGTGTGTGTCTGCAACTGTTGCTGAAAAGGCCTTGGAGTGCCTTGAGGCAGTGAGATGCCGACAAAGTGGATGGAGGTGTGAGTGACTATGGGAGCCAGGCAGTGAATGGAGGCCTGAGTGACGGCAGCTCAAAGCATGGGTAACTAACTGAAGGTCGGAGTGAATGACACATGAAGGACTAAGTGAATGGGAGAGTGGCTGAGTGACTGAATGAGTGACTGAGGGGCACAGAGGCTATGAATTCTCCCCCAAGAGCTTCTTTCTCATCTTTAGTTTCTCCCCACTTCCTGCAGCTGGGAGGTGTCACTCGGCAGGCAGATACTGTAGATCCAGCAGTGGAAGCCCTGGTTTCCTGGGGAAG